AGGGAGCCTGGGAGCGGCCCGGCCCTGCCCTGGTGCTCCTGTCCTGCCAGGGCAGTGCTCGTCCTGCCGCACATGTAGCCGGGGAGGGGCCAAAGTTTGCTGTGTTGTCAGAGGGTGTGTGCTCGGTGTTGTGGGTGGGGCACGGGGTCAGAGCACCTGTGAGTCCGGTAAAGTGAGAGTTGTGTAGTTGTAAAGCCTGAGTTAAGGATGACGCATTTGAGGAGGGTGGTGAGATATTGAGCGACTGGATATGTAGATTTTTCTGCAACATGCTAAGCATTTTCACAATGAAGCCCTGAAGTTAGTGAAACCGGTTTTTAAGCTGCACTGAAATTGGATGAAGAGCACTTCCTGGAAGTTAGGTTGTCCTTCAACAGTCAGCAAATGTGGCTATCGGCATAAACCTCACCTAAGAGAACAGAACAGAACAACATGGTGTGAAGAGAAAATAAAAATTCCTTTTGAGTACTCGTGTATTTCAACCAAGTTACCTTGGCTGAGCTCTTTAAAATTGTAAGGAAGGCTCAAGGATTGAAGCTGAAAAAAAATATGTGCATGGAATGCATTTTGTACTGAGAGATTCGAGACCATCTGTGTCTGTGCCCCAGGGGTCCTTGTTAAAGAAGAGCCAGGGAAGATCCTCTGGCCAAGTCTTGAGGTTCAGAGCAGACTTTCTTGCTCCACTTCTCAAAGAGAAGACTATATGCAGCTGGATCCAGTCTTAGCTCCCAACTGTAAAAAGAGAGTTCAGACCTTAATTTCTGCCCAGAGTCAGTTTATTACAGCTCAAGCAGAGCGGCTCTGAGGGACCTTGCGTGTACTTCACCTGTGCCTTTTAAGGCCTCACAATCCGTGCAACGTGCGATTCATCAGCCAGTCAGTCTGTTTAAGGTGCATCCTCTCTCAAGGTGATTGGTCTCCTGTCTCTTCTGCTTAACCCTTTGACTTAGTCTTTCACAGAGTCGCAGAATGTTAGGGCTGGAAAGGACCTTGAAAATTCATCTAGTCCAACCCTCCTGCCAGAGAAGGATCCTCTAGAGCACCTCAAACAGGAATGTGCCAGGGTGGTTTTTGAATGAGGAAGAGACTCAACAACCTCTCTGGGCAGCCTGTTCCAGTGTTCTGTCACCCTCATATGGTAGGAAATATCCCTTTGCCACTTCAGGTCAACTGTCCTGACTCTCCCCCTCCCAGCATCTTGTGCACCCTCAGCCTATACACAGGGAGGGGGGATGTGGAACAGTGCAGTAAAAAGGTAAAGCCTTGACACTATACAAACACTGTTTGGCAACAGCCAAAACATTGGTGTGTTATCAACAGGGTTTTTGTCCCAAAATCCAAAGCACTGCGCCACGCAAATTTCTCTGAAGAAAGTTAACTCCATCCCAGAGAGACCCAGCACAGACATATTGTAGTTAAGTGATTTTGAAACACTAAAGAAAAAATATTGTTTTGTTAATTGCATGTTCATTATCCATCTGTAACTTTGTCTTGTTCATAGCCTTAGTTTGAAGTGACTCATTTAACTGTTTTTTATCTGCATTTGTAAGCCATGACATTTATCAGGACATCATTACTCAATTTCTCTGGTGTCATTTGGAAGTAAACCAAATCCACTTCTTGTCTGCTCTGCTTGTTGTGATCATGTAATAGTGTGAAATCTTGATGAATGGACACGGAAGGCGGAGGAATGTAGAGTATTATTTATGTAATATATACATATTATATACATACAAAAGAAGTGATCCAAAGGCAATCACCACCTCCTACAGGCAGACCAGTGCCCAGCCAGTCTCCAAGCAGCAGCCACCTTAGAAGGCAACTCCCCAACATCTCCTTTTCCCCTGCTACTATTTGTACAAAAAGATGGTTATTTCTAAGCAGCATGCATCAGCTGCTCAAACTCAGCCACCCTAACGATGATGAGCAGTGTTTTATTTCTCTATTGCTCTTCTTTAGCAATGCCAGGCTGAATCAGGCTGGGAGTCCAGCCATTCTGGTCATCATACCTCCCTCTTCCTCTGGCTGGTACACTGTATCATATGTGTGGGGAAGCAATTTGAATATCTGATTTGGGAGGAGAATGCAGGAGTGAAAGAGGGTTGTGATGACCTATCATGAAGAGAGCTGAAGTTCTAGTGTCCTGAACACCATTTTGGTTTGGAGCTTCAGCCAATGGAGTTAGATTCTAGGGAACAGTGGTAACTCCTCTTCAAGTTGTAAAGTAGAGGAATAATTAAGGAGAAAAAAGGGAGGAAGACCCCCAGAGTCACTACTCACTGAAGTCCCAATGGTACTTTTCCCATAATGACTTGTTATAGGCATGATAATGGAGAGGTATGACAGTCCCCCTTTGGTGTCTATATTGAGAGTAGAATGGCATTGTCCAATACTATTACAAGGTGTACTTCTTATTACCTGTAGTTAGAGATTTACCAATGATTTAATGCGTGGGAGTCATCTCTTGTCCTCTACTCCACGTTGAATTCGCACATTTACATATTATGAAAATTAATGTAAAGAAAATTGCACATCTGAAGTGCTTTTATAAAAAAATGGCATTATTACATTTTAAGCTATGTAAGAGTAACATAGTGAATTGTTAAATTCTTAATAGTAAATATTATGACTTTAAATTCTTATAGCAAGACTGATTCACTGTGAAAATTCATAATGGAAGATGACTATAATTTACTAGCAGACCTTAAGAAGTATACAATTAGGCTATTTAAAGTTCTTTTAGAAAATGATTTCTAAGTAAAAAACTTACAACTGATTTCTGAAAACCATTTTTTTTTGAGTAATTTTGATTGTATTTTGTGTTGTATTTTGTGGAAGCAACCCTGGCATTGTGTTACTGCACTGTTACTGTGCATTACTGATATTTTCCTCTTTGTGGGAGGAAATTGATGAAAATACACCTTGTGGGCAGGGTAGTATGGTCTTTCTTTTC